GTGTGCCCAGCACCAAGGTGAGCCCAGCACCAGGGTGAGCCCAGCCCCAGGGTGAGCCCAGCCCCAGGGTGAGCCCAGCACCAAGGTGAGCCCAGCACCAAGGTGAGCCCAGCACCAAGGTGAGCCTGGCCAGACACCCCTCCAGCTGTTGGTGTCACTGTCACTGCAGCCCCCTGAAGGGCTTGGCTCTGACGTGGCTCCCCATTTAAATGCTTTCAGTCCCTTCTTTCCTGTTGCTCTCGGTTGTTGTGTAATCCCAGACCATGTGCCCACCAACACTCTTCATTTTCTTTTTCTTGTAGCTTGCAAAGGGTTTTTTTAATCTCTTTTTAAAATGAAATGTTATAAGGAAATTATATTAAATGTTGAAAACAAATGGCTCTCAGAGAGGATGATTTCTAAAAGGCAAGAATTCTCTCTTTGCCATCATTTGTCTTGAGGTGCACACTCAGTTTAAACTTAAATCTAAAGATTGATAGACAAGGCAATGGAAAGCTTGACTACTCTTAAGTCCCTGACAGGCTCTTCTTTACCAAAGAAACTCTGATATTAAGACTATACTTATGCCAAGTGGTGGAATGGTTTTTCACAGAAAACCAGTGTCCACCTAACAGGATTACTCTGGCTACGTGTGCTACAGTACAAAATAACTTGCTTTGCTGCATTTCATTTTGATGAAGTGCTTCTGCATGGTGAAATCTGCTTTGGTTTAGTTATATTTAGAGGCGAGATGATGTCAATCTGTTACATAAATTCAGCCAAAAACCACATTCGAGTTTAACAGTTCATTGGGGAATTTGATCATGGAAAATTCACGAGTCTCTTACAAGAAGCTCTTGAACGGGTTGTTTGTCCCTGTTGTTCTTGCATGGCCAACAGTACAGTTTGGAGATAAATGGCACTTTTTCTCTGCTCATGTGGGGGGTTACCAAAGTTGTGCATATTTGAAATAGGAACTTGAAAAGGTTCTGCCCTCAGGTTGTCCAGAACTTCACTTTGAGAATATTCTAAACAACCCAAGCGTGTCAGTGTGGCTGCTTGGTGCTGTGGGCTTCTGTGACCTCCAGCTGCACCAAAGCAGAGCAGCTCCCATTCCATAGCAGGCTCTAGTCAGCATAACTGAAGCTTTCCTGGATTCCTCCAGAGCTATTTAAATCTGCAGTAGAGCAACATGGAAGTTTGTTTGATCATTGCTTAGAAAGGGACAAATACTACAAACCTCAATCTTATTTCTAAGAGACTTCAGTCCCAGGCTGGCCCCACAGCCCATTTCATAACAGTTGTGTTGCAGGGACTTCAGAGGGCAAACTGTGCAGCAGCTGTTGGAGAGTGTCCCTCATGTGTTTCTGGGAGTAGAATTGCCCCAGTGTGAGCATTTCACTGCCTGTGCAGGGGGTTCTTCCCCAGGGTCAGTGGCACCAGTCACCAGGGCCCAGTGGGCACAGATGGAGCCTCACCCAGGGGAAGAGTTCAGGGTCTGTTCTTAGAGAGGAGAGGTGGGAAATCACTTACCTGGCCTGAGGTCCAGAGGAATTTCAGCTGGTTGTCATGGGCTTCCATGTCCCTCTCCAGTCAGTGGCTCTGCCCATCTCCAGTGTTTGCAGCATTTACCTGCAGTGAAGAAAGGCACAGGTGTGGTCACAAAACAGGGTTTAGGAATTGTCAGAGAATCTCAGGATGTAAAATCTTGGCTGTGGTGTCTGACTAACTTGGAGCATGAGGAGATCATCGTGTGCCTCCCCCTGGAGATCTGCTCAAATGAGACTTGCCCTGTGAGCTTTGTGTTCATCTTTGCTACTGAATTGGAACAACAGCTGCCACTTGGTGCTGCGTTAAGAATAAAGCCAAGAGCTGGCCTGAGGGTTTTACCTGGTAGGTGACAACTCCCTGGTTGGTGCCACAATGACACGTGTCCTCTCTCCCCCCAGGCCTACACCAGCCAGTTTGTGTCCCTGGTGATGTTTGCCCTGATGATGTGTGATGACAGGATTTCCATGCAGGAGCGGCGCAAGGAGATCATGCGTGGGCTGAAGGGGCTGCCAGGTAGGACACGTTGGCCGTGCTCTCCAGGGGATCCCCAGTGCCCAATTAAACAGTCCCTGGGGGTTCAGACCAAGGGGAAGTGCTGCAGTCTTTGGGAACCCCTGGGTCTGAGCAGGCCTGGACCAGCCACCCTGGTCAGTGAGTGCAGAGGGGCTGTTCCAGTGACTTGGCAGCCACGTTCTCTCTCAGGGCTCAGACCACTAAACTGGACCAGTAAAACACTGAGTCCAGGCTGTCTGCAGGTCCCTGCTGTCTGTGCCTGTGAAGGATGAGCAGTGTGTGTAGTTTGAGACACAGGCTATGAGCACACACAGTTTGGATTCTCCTCCTTCCTTTTAGACTTAATTAAAGAAGTGCTGAGCATGGATGATGAGATCCAGAAGTTGGCCACAGAGCTGTACCATCAGAAGTCAGTCCTCATCATGGGACGTGGCTACCACTATGCCACATGTCTGGAGGGAGCTCTGGTAAGAGATTTCCTTATTTAAAGCTGGTTCAAACACATTTAGCTGTGGCCTTTAGATCTCTGTGCAGGGAGCAAGAAGGGGCTACAAGAGTTGTGAGTGCAGCTGGCAGCTCTGGTGTGTGGCCAACCTGCTGGGTCAGGTGGGGGGCACTGGCACAGGTTGCCCAGAGAAGCTGTGGCTGCCCCATCCCTGGAAGTGTCCAAGGCCAGGTTGGACGGGGCTTGGAGCAACCTGGGCTAGTGGAAGGTGTCCCTGCCCATGGCAGGGGATGGCACTGGATGAGCTTTAAGGTCCCTTCCAAGCCAAACCATTCCATGATTCTGTGATTATAAATAGCTAAAAGTCACCCTAACAATGCTGAGGCTGCTCCTCAGGGATTCCCATGTCACAGGCTACACGGGGTTGAAAGGGTGTGTTTGCCCCATTCACACTGGGAATGCTTTACTGTGACACGCTGGGCACCCTAATAAATCCAGGTCTTTGATGTGTTGGGATGAGCTTTCCAGAAACACTCACCATCCAAAGCTGTGTGTACTTTCCAAGCCCATAAATTGCAGTTTTTACATTTGAGGAGACTCCTGTTGGTTTAAGTGCAGTCCCCCAGTGACCTCCAGGCATATCCCAGCCTTTGTCTGCCCAGTCAGACTGTGATGGGGGATATGTTGGCTGATGGCAAGTCACAAGGGCTGTGGTGGGTTTGGTGTTAGGACTGTGAGTGTTGGTGGCAGCCCAGCCCAGGGGCGCTGCTTGGATCTGGGTTTTCAGGCTGACTCGTTTGCCTGTTGGATCTGGGGAGAGCCAGAAAGCTTTAAAAACTTACAAAGTGGAGGAATCCACAGAGGTGGTTAAAGAACAATAATCACAAGTTTGCTCAAATTTTATGAATTTTTTTTCCCCACCTAGAAAATTAAAGAAATCACCTACATGCACTCAGAGGGGATCCTGGCAGGGGAGCTGAAGCACGGCCCCCTGGCACTCGTGGACAAGCTCATGCCCGTCATCATGATCATCATGAGAGACCACACCTATGCCAAGTGCCAGAACGCCCTCCAGCAGGTCATTGCACGGCAGGTGAGGACCTGGAGTGTCTGCAGGGCGTCAGAAATGCTGCTTTTAATAGAGAAGCAGTTCCCAGGCTGTTCATTTCAGTGTCACTGCCCAAAATGGGAACCCAGTAAATATTGTGGGCGTTGCAAGAGCAGTTCTTGCAGCAGCCTGGTGTGCTCTAGTTAACCCTTAAGTACCCTCCAGGGCTGCCCAGGGAATGTGAAGCTGTTGGGTTCCAAATTAAGTGATAAGTTTTTGCTGCTAATGCTCTGAACAGAGCGAGAGAAGGACCTTCCAAACCTGCTTTTCCTCAGCATTTCCCTCTGTCTCAGGGGCGACCTGTGGTGATTTGTGACAAGGAGGACATCGAGACCATTAAAAACAACAAGAGAACCATCAAGGTTCCCCACTCAGTGGACTGTCTGCAGGGGATCCTGAGTGTCATCCCCCTCCAGCTGCTGGCCTTCCACCTCGCCGTGCTCCGGGGATACGACGTGAGTACAGCGCTGCTTCCTTCTGCTCTCCTGTGTGCTCTGCAGGGCTGGCACAGGGCCTGGGTGAGGCTGGAAGGCTCTGGGGGTTGTCTGTGTAATGCTTGAGCTGCTGGAATGACCAGGGTGAAGGGCAGCCCTGGCCAGTGCAGACCTGGGGGGAGCCCAGGACACGTGGCTGAGTCTGGTGCAGTGGAGTGTCTGTGCTGGGAGGAGCTCACAGGGTCTGCAGGGCTGCTAGGAGGCTCAAAGGAAGGTAACAGTCCTCAGAAGGGTATTTGCAAGCAGTCTGTTGGTGTTAGGTACTTGGTCTTAACACAGACACTGGCCTCGACCTGTTATCAGTGACCTCTTATCATCTGAGCACTGTGACAACCTGGACTAGAGGAATCTGCTCCTGGCTTTTGACAGAGGAGTTGTAACAATTAAGGTGATGGACTTTTTCTGCACTGATTGTGCTAAATTGACATGAGGATATGTTCAGTTGTTTTCAATTTAAAGCAGAGCAAACATTCCACACGTTACAAAGTTCTGCACAAACAAACAAAGTGTGTAAATACTCACGAGCGTGTTCTTTCTCCTCCCTCTCTGCAGGTTGATTTTCCAAGAAATCTGGCCAAGTCCGTAACTGTAGAGTGAAAGATCATCTGAATCATAGGGGCAAAGGGGAATTAAATGAAAGACTTTTTTTGGTACCAAAATAACTTGATTTTAAAGCCCCCTAGGTAAATCTTATTTTGGTAAATCATTGTTTGTGTATAAGATCACCATAATTCCATTACATTAGTGATTGTCCAGTTGATTCCACATGCTATGTCAATAGCTTTGGGTTTTTTTAAACAATAGCCTTCCATGAAAGATGTTAAATGGTTTTCTTAAAGATTACTGAGTCTAGTAGGTAAGAGGCCCTCCACTTTACTTTGAGCTGATGTCATTGTCTCTGCCCCAGTGTGGCTCATTCCAGTCATTGATGAGAAAGCACTGAATGAATTAATCACCTGTCACGCTCTCAGGCAGTGAAGCAGGACCCCAGAATATACAACTGGAACAAGAGCTGGTGCTGGTCATGCTTGTGCAGATATTTTACCAGGGAACCAAACTGTAAACAAGCCTTTGGGGTGAATTTCTGCCTCATGTACAGAAGGGAATCCAACTGCCCTGCCACGACCTCCTCGATTCTGGGCACGTGGGGACTGTGCCAAGGAAGTAACTTTGCTTCAGCAGGATTTTAACTATGCCAAAAACATAGCAAGTGACAATCTCGTGTAGCCTCGGTGGCCTGGGCTCTGTGTGACACCAGCACAGAGCTGCTGTGCCCAGTGGGACACTGGATGTGAGTGGGAGCACTGGGGGGAAGGAGGAGCAGGGCCAGTGCTCACTCTGTGCTGGTGTTTGTGGTGCTGTGGGCTGGGTTTTGTTTTACAAGCGGGAGTTTTCCTGTGCTGAGGGTTTTCCCCTTGCCCTGAGCAGGGGGGGCTGTGGCACATCTGAATTCCAGCTTTGTGCTGTGTTTTTGCTGCAGGTCACTCACTGCTCTGGATGCATTTCTGTATTTTTACCTTGTGTCTCTCCAGCAGAGGTGGCACTAAAGCTCTGACTTAGCCAGAGTCCCCTAATGACACCAAGGGCTCTGGTTTATTTAGCAGCAGTTTATATGTGTCAAATTCAGCTGGTTTAAAATTGAAGGGGATAAAAAGGCTCCGTAGACACGACAGAAATAAATACCCTGGTAATAGTTTTATAACAAACTTGCAGAGAACCAGAAATGACATGGAAAATATGCCCTCAGGACTTAAAACCTGACTTGTTCAGAGTCATCAAAGGGCAGTTATTATGTATTTCCTAATGCAAAAGGGTGAATTTCCTACCATCTTGCTGGGTTTTGAATTAGCTTTACACAGGCACCCTAAAAGAAAAACCACACTACAAGGCGTAAAGTGAATATTGCAGGTGACTCACTGCCCCTGGAAAAGGGCTTTGCCAAGGGCAGTGGCTGGGGACTGTGAGTCCTGGTTCCCCTGGCACAGGGTGACACTGCTGAGCAGTGACCCAGGCTGCTCCATGACTGCTCAGATCCAGTGTTCCCAAAGACTCTGTAGCAATTCTACTTCGGATGAACCCACAGTGACTATTTCACTTCAGTTCAGTGTCAGCTCAAGGCTCAGTTTTATTATGAGTGTGAAAACTGTGTGCCTGGAAACAACTTTTCAAAACCAATGTATGTGTTTATTAATCTGTCATATTCAGACTATTAATTTATGAACACATTGTGCTGCCAGTGTCTGTTTAAGAACAAAGTAGTAAATATTGCATTTTAGGTGAGCAGATGCTGTGTATGAGGCACTGCCCCATGACAGCTGAGCCTCTGCCTAGACATGACCAGTAGCCCTCCCTGCTTCAGCTGGAGATGATAATTGTCCTTGAGGAAAAAACAAGGCATGTTTAGTGCTGGCTAGTGGAAGACAACTCCTCTTCCTCCTCCTCCCCCCACCCAACTTGCTTAAGAGAAACTGTGCAAACCTGTCCCGTGGGGGGCTGGATCCAGGCAGGGCTCCCCCTGGATCCCCCCAGCACGGGGAGGTGCAGTGTCCCACCCTGTGTCCTTGGATTGGGATCTCCCGGGAAACAACCCTGCAAGAGAATGATTTAAGATCTCTTCCCCCATTGCAGCAGGCCTTGCTTTTCCCCTGCCTTGCACAGGACCCACCAGCTTGCCAGGTCTGCCAGCCGAGGGGGGCAGACCCCCCTGTTAGATACCAGTTGCCGTTCTGTAGAAGTTTGTTATTGCAGGCTGTTAAATATTTATGAAAGCTGTGTACAAAGAGGACCAAAGAACAGGAGTCTGAGTTAGAAATGTTAAGTCTGACACTCCCATGTCAGTGTAACTGTACAGATAGTGCTGAGCTCTTTGGGTTTGTGCTGTGACAGACAAATCCTTGTTCCTGAAGGATTGAACTCCCGAGGGATCAGGGGGCAGTGGTGAGCACCCACCTCCTGCAGCAAACTGCCTGCAGTGTGTCCAGCTCCTGGCTGCCAAAGCAGAGGGGTAGCAGCTCCTTGCCACCAGGGTTTGGATGTTGTAGGGCTCGGTGTCCAAGGATGCTCTGGAGCACACCTGTGTGAAGAATCTCCCTGCTGAGCGTGCAGGGAACCCGTTCAGCGTCTCGGTGTTGTTGTTGCCATGAAGTGTGAAGTGAGAATGTACAAAGGACTCTTTTAGCTTTCCTTACCTCATTTTGTCCATGTGTTGCATTTTGATGAACAGATGATGTTTCTCTTTTCCTTAGAAAACGTTTAGAATGTCTTGTGATATTTATTAACAGCCAGTCAGTCTTCTGCTCTCCCAAATGAATGTTTTGCTTACTGAGCCAGTAAAATTCTCTCCTTCCTCACTGAGGTGTTGAAAAAATTCAGTAGCCCTGTCTCTAAAATTGAGCCACAGGTAAATACAGATAAAGGCCTTTCCATCTGGAATAGCAGCTCCTATTCCATTCCTTTGGTCACAGTTTATTTTGATGTGAGTTTTCCTCCCCTCAAAGGGGAGCACATGCCTATGGGTCTTAGGGGGTTTTAATTACCAAAGAGCAGAGAACTTCCAGCTCAGCACATGTTGTTTCTGCCCAATGGCTCCCAGACAGATTCCATGCTGACAGGAAGATTCCACACACACATGGAAATTAAGCTGCATGTGGAATATATGGAATATATGTCAGCAAGGTTTTCCCTCCTGGCTCTGCTGCAGAAGGGAGGGAACAGCTCTTTCCCAGGTTTGTCAGAGGAGTCAGCACTGTTGTACAAAGCAGTGTCTGGGTGCCCTGTCCTTGTGAGGGGCATCACTGACAGGGCAGATCCATCTCCTCTTGGAGGTGGGGGCACCCTCTGTCCAAAATCCTGCCTGGACACCTTTACTGGGTCAGGCTCAACCCCCTGCACTGAGGGAGCCAAAAGCTTCACACAGACCCTTTCCCAGCCCAGTGGGACAGAGCTCACAGACCTGACATGTAATCCTCAGTTCAGAGCCTTAAGCTGAGCCCAGACACACAGGTTTGGATGAGCTGCAGTGTGAAACATCTAAAGGTAGAAGTAAAACCAACCCAAGTGCAGAATTGGGCTTTTCCCCTCTCTGGCTGTCCCTGGCAGTCCCTGATGCCATGAGGAGGTGCCTGGTGGGCCGAGCTGGATGGAGGCAGGGACTGAAGTTCAGGGCTTGAGTAGCACGTCAGTGTTTAGCTGTGGCTAATTTTAGATCCTACCTGAATGTACCAAACTTGCCTCAAAGCATGGAGTCCCTCCTCTTCGTCAGGAACAGGAAGAAGAAGAAACAAAGAAGTGTTTGGGTTGCATAAAAGGAAAGAAAACTCTTTGCCTTCAATTCAGTTTCTGTAAATAGCCATAGGAGTGGCAAAGCCCACGTTTCCTCCCTTGTAGATCTCTCTGCCTCTGCTGTACATTTCCAGCTGGCTTTGGGTTGTGGGGACCAGACTGTACCGTGTTTCCTGTCATGTGCTCGATGCAGAAGATGTCTTACTTTTGTCTGTAGTGTTTTATAATTTGGGTTTTGTCTTTTTGCTTACTTTTTTTGTATCTCACCCTTTGAATAAAATCAAGTGCCCTACATTAAACAAATGGAATTACTGGTCTTTAGTTAAATGCTCTGAGAACAGGTGTAACCCCTGAGGAAGTTCAGGGCAGGGTGTTCAAAGCAGAAAACCTTGGGGCTTAACTCTCCCCTCCTGCCCAGCCAGGCTGTTTTCAGTCAGAGGTACAGCCTGAATTTCACCTCCCTTTCCCAGCTGTGATTTTTTTCCACTCTCCAAGAATGCCCATGAAATCCCCCTAGGGCAGAACTGTTTCTGTTACCTTCTGTACCTTAATTCTTATTTAATTACCTGTTTTCTGTCACTGAGTCAGACCAGTCACAGCCAGCACAGCCCATACCTGACTTGTGCTCAGTGGATTTACACACATTCCACAACTTCTGAAATTCCTGGTTTCTTTTCCAGGACAGAGCCCTGTCTGGGTCAGGCAGGGCCAGGCAGCTGCACGAAGCAGCCCCAGAGCTGCTGAGCTGGTACAATTAAGTGCATGTTCTGCTCAGACAACAGCTGGGGGCTCAGTCATGGCTAAAACATGCCTGGGTGACCCCCAGTGACAAAAGGCTGTCTGAAATCCCACCTCTGCTGCAGTTGGAGCTGCTTGTGGATTCATTTCCTCAGGGATCTCCACCTCTCCAGGGGAGCAGCATCAAACACATCTGTTTATTTTGTCAGGCAAAGTGAGCAGCTCAGACTTCTCTCTCCAATGCCTTTCCGAGTGCCAGCACTGGAAGGTCCAGAGGCTCCTCTCTGGAGCTCCCTGCCTTGGAACAAGGGTCGTGTGTCCTTGGGAGCACAGGAAGAGCTGGGAACAAGACTCTGCCTGCTCGGCTCTGCAGGGATAAACAGCAACAAACAGGTCCAACAGCCCCACACGGGGGCTGTCCTTGCCATGGCTGGGGTCACAGCTGCCCAGGACACCGAAGGAGCAGGGAACAGAGCAGGGACTCGTCCTGGGCAGTTGGTGGGTGCCTGAGGTGGCTCCAGGGCTGCACCAGCCTCAGCTTGTCCCTGAACACCAACTGCTCCTGGTTCTGCACCACTGAGGACTGGGACATGTCAGCTTCTGTCACAGGCTGGTGGGGGGGACAGGGCACCCCTGTTTCTGTCCTTCACCCCAAGGGCTGGACCCTGAGGAGCTCCAGTGCTCGTTGCCCACCTGGGCCAGCCACTGACAGCACATCTCTTGAGCTGATACACGTGGCCCTGGAGAGGCAGCTGCAAAGGGCCACAGGCTGGGTCCTTCTCCACTCAGTCCTGAGCTCTGGCTGCCAGAAAACCATTTCCTTACATCCTGATGTGGCAAAGAACAGTCAGATACAGGGCCAAGGACCTGCAGGCCCCGTGCACAGAAACTCTCCCATCACGTGCAGTTTGCCTCATACGAGCTGACACTTGCAGATAAATAAGCTCCCAGAAGCCAAGAGGGACTCAAAGAAAGGCATAAGCATTTGGTTTGAATAAATTATATTAAATTGTCTGCTCCAAAGCTCTCCTGGGCCCCTCTGGAGCTCCCTGCCACGTTCCCCTCACGTCCCCACAGTGTGTGGACCCTCAGGACAGGCAGAGCTGAGCCTCAACCTGCTGCTGCCTCTACACACCCAGGGAAGTTTCTTTAATTTGCCTCTGTTTACCTTCACTGGTATAAAGTGGTGCTCACCTGGGCTTTTGGGAGGGCTGTGCTTGGTCAAGACCCTGGGAATGGTGGTTTTTCCACACCTCATGCTCTTGCTCTCTGGTCAATGCTTTTCACCACTGCAGAGCACACCTGGGGCACACACAGCAAATGCCCACATAGGGCAGAGAAATGGCACCTGCCCCCCCAGACAGCCAGTTCTCAGGTCACTGTAAGCTGCTCAGGGGGGAAGCACAGTCCATAGGGAAAAGACCCCTTTGGACATGGAAAGGTTTGGAAGGAGGCTGCTGTGCAGCAATGTTTGGCTGGACACAGAACAAGGAAGGGGTGTTTTGCTTGTAGAACTGATTCCCACTTCCCAGGGTGCTGTTTCACACTGGTTTGCACTGGAGTCATCCTTACACCTCCTGCTCTGCTGCCCAGGGCAGCTGCTGTTCACAGGCTGCTTTGAGAGCAGTTCCTTGCACACCTCAAAGGTAAAAGCTCTGTGCTGATCCCTCCCCAGGAGAGCAGCCAGGCACACTCATCCCACGGTGTGAGGACACACCAAGTGAAGGAGCCACCCTCACTTTGCACAGAGAGCACAAAGCCCCAGGACAGCCCCTGTGACCCACGGCCTGACCTGTGGGGCTTGTGGCTCCCAAGCTCTGCAGCAGCCCCCAGGATCCCCAGTGCCAGAGCAGGAACCCCAGGCACTCAGACCATCAGTGAGGGGGGTTTAGGGGCCTCAGCTTTAGTGACAGCTGATGGGACTTCCTGGGAGACGTGGAAAAATGCTGCACAGGGATGGAGACTCCCCTCAGTGGGGCATCCTGGCCCTGCCACTGGTGAGCAGCTGCCTTCCCACTGCCCACTGCCCGTGCTGGGCTGCTCCTCCAGCACCTCCCTGCTGCTGCATGTGTTGGTGCTTCGCCACCTCCCCAGCTCCTGCAGCTTGCAAGGCCCAGGAGGAAGGAGGAACAGGCTGAGCAGCTCAGCTTCATCTCCAGCTCTGCTGCAGCTCCCTGAGCAACTGTCCCCAGAGCCCCGAGGGCACCCCGACCTCCTGGCAGAGGAGCCCACAGTGCTCTGCACTTATCCCACAGGAGACCAGCTCTGTCCTCTCCCAGAAGGCAAATCCTTTGGTGCTGCTGCAGTGGCCCAGTCAGACGTGGACAGAGAGGCCACGGAGACATCCCAGACCATCGGCTCCCGTCGGAGGCGCAGCCTGATATGGCTCTTGGACACTTCTTCAGCTCCAGCTCAGACATAAAAGCTGTGTTTCTGCAAGCCTGACCCAAAACCCACCCTGTGTGCTTGAAAAGAGGCTGTTTCTGACCTATTTCCATGCATTTATCAGCTGATTGGAACACAGTGCAGGCACTGGAGAAGAAAAGCTGGCTCGCCAGGATGGCCAGCTCAGTGCTGAGGAGGTGACCCGGCCTCAGAGGAAAATCAGACCCACAAATCAGGCAGGACAGGACTCTTTCCCTCTCCAGTCTCACTCTTTAGGCCAAATGAAGTATGTTCCCATGGTCCTTACGAATTCCTATGGAAACAGGCTCAAACAAACAGGCTACTGGGCTGTGTCTGGCGGGAGCAGCAGCAGAGCTGTAACCCAGGATCCTGCAGGGGCAGCGAGCCCAGACACACTGGGGCACTCCCAGCAGCACTCCGGCCCAGAGCTCAGCCCAGGCAGGCTCCCCAGGGCTCCCCTGCACTGGGACACGCACACGGACCAGTGCAGGATGGGTGCCAGGATGGCAGGACGTTCAGAGTGGTGGGAGGGCACCCAGGCACCTTGTGAAGGACAAAATTACCTGCACAGGCAAACCTTGGCTGCACCAAAGTGCTGCTGCAGCTCCTGCTCAGAGGAGCAGTCAGCAAACCTGCAGGGATGCTCCTCCATCCCCTCTGTGCCCAGCACTGACCTGCACCAGCCAGAGGGCCAGGGCAGGGGGTGGCAGGAACCTCCCAGCTGGAGCAGGACAGCTCTGGGTGCCCAGCAGAGCAGGGCACGGGACACTGCAGGGGATGGCAGGCTCTGGCCAGGGAGTCACTGTGAGGAAGGATCCAGCAGAGCCCAGACCAGCCTTCCTGCAGCTCCCAGGGTGCTTCTGGTCCCCAGCTCTGGGCAGGACACTCCAGCCTGCACGGGGTGACTCCTCTCACTGGCAAACCCCAGGGATGTGCCTGAAGTTACTTTTGTATCCAAAGCCACCCTCCCAGGCTATCAGCACATGGACACTGGGAAAACCCAGCTGGAGCTACAAAACCTCCTCTCCAGCACGAGAGCAGTGCAGGAGCACGACCAGAGGGGCCCCTGTGGTCCAGGGCCAGACCATCCCGCTGTGAATTGTGGCAGGGACTCCCATTCCTGCCGGCACTTCTTGCAGCAGCTCCTGTCCCCAGGAAGAGAGGCTTTCCCGAGCCCAGCCTCAGAACTGCTGACCATTGGAATTCTCTCAGATCCAGCCAGCCCCAGCTGGGGCACCCTGAGGATGCTCAAGGCACACGTGCCCCACGCCAGACGGGATGTTCAGTTCCCAGAGGGCCTTCCCTGGGGACACAACAGCAAACCTGAGGCTCCGGCCATCGCCCGCTGGAATTCGGGGGGATTTCAGGATTGCACCAAGCTGGGAATGACACGCACAGGAAAAGCTCCTGCTGAACCAAACTGTGAGGAGTCACAGCCTCTGTGACCCTGGATGTGTTACACCCCTTGTGACAGAGAAGGGCAATCATCCTCCTCCTCCTCCTCCTCCTCCTCCTCCTCCTCCTCCTCCTCCTCCTCCTCCTCCTCCTCCTCCTTCCCCCCCACAGTGGGACTGAGCCCACGGAGCAGCCACAGCACCTCCTCAGGCTCTCAGGACAGGCTCACACAGGGCCTAAAGTGTTGGATGAAGGAAGTGCCTCCAGGGTGTCCCTGCAGGACCCTGGGGGGTGTGAGGGGGTTCTGAGAACGTCTCCTGCCTGCGGAGCTCTGGGCTCAGGGAGGGATTTGTGCTGCAGGGCTGTGGGGACACAGACAGGGAACAGGGATCAGCAGGGTCTGAAGTCCTCTGCCCCTCCTTCCCCTCCAGGTGCTGCCAGTCAGGAGCAAGGCTTGCCATGGTCCCAGGCTTCATCCTGGGCTTTGCTGGCCCAGCTGAGGGGGCAGGACTGGGCTCGGGAGCAGCTGCAGGCTGGGGCTCCCCTGGGTGAAGGCACAGCACAGTCACCTCTGAGAGGGGCAGGAGGCACCTATGGGGGGCAACCATCTCCCCCAGAGAAGGGTTAGGGTTAGGGTTAGGGTTAGGGTTAGGCCTAGGGTTAGGGAAGGACATCTGTCCTTTCCCCTCCCAGGACAGCCACTGCTCAGCCACCAGCTGCCACTCTGTGCAGTGCAAGGTGCCACTGAAGGCACAGCTCCTGCT